AATTTATATGTGGTTTTAAGATACGCGGATTAAATCAATACAAATGATAAATGGCGTAATATTAACATATAAAAGACGTAACAAATTATCAAACCAAGAGCGGGAGTGATCCCGGACTCGGTAATAACTTAATGAAGTGCCTGCCTTTGGTCCTGGGCCCACAATAATAGGGAACTTGGTGAACAAAAGTAAGAATAGAGAAAAATAATAGTATATTCCTTGATATGCGTGTTACAAAAGTGCCTAATGAATAGTGTGACTCCCCTTTATATAATAGAGGAGTTTTACCCTAAGTACAATTCCATAAAAGGTAAAAATCTTCCGTTTTGCTAATCACTGATTTTCTGCCGATACGTGCCGAGATTCACGCCTGACATCCGGCTGGCATGGATATCACGACCCTTTGTTAGTCGTGCTCAATTATCTGGTAATGCTCTCCGAGTTTTGGGATTCAAATCGGACCTGAGGGACGTGGCCCCGAGTCTTCCGAGGTTAGGTGTTTTGCCCGGACCCTGACTCGAGAGGCTCCTTGCCTCGATTCCGGTTCCTTACGGTCACGTCTCTGCTCCGTTTACTTCATCGAGAACCGAGGTGTCCAACGGTCTCGGTTTCACCCGTATACTGAAATTATCATCGTAACTTGCAATGATAATGCATTGTGTTTCCTCCTTCAATGAAACTTTAAAAAGGAAAAGTCTCGATCCTGCATTCCTGCAGGATTCAGTGAAGGAACACTTCCAAAAAATACGATGGAGACAATCTATCCTAATACAAGCACTAGTGACTGATTCCAGTGAATCTTATGCAACACAATCCCAAATTATTGGGGTTTTGGTAGGGTGCATAAGAATAATGTTGAGTATGGTGTATTAGTAATGCTGGTATTAGTTATGCTTGTATTAGTTATATTTTGCATTAGTTATGGTGATATATTTCTTATCTATTGTTTGGTCTGATGTATTAAAGCATTGTACAGTTTTTAAAAGAATTATTTGTTTACAAAAATACCCTCATAAGTAGTCCGTCACTTTATCTTTTTAAAAGAAACATATGTTGAGGAATGTTTTTATATGAAAAGGTTTAAGGAATTATTTAACTTGTCTACCTATATTATAATATAGAACTGAATATTTTATTTATAAAAAAAGAAATATGATAAGTATTTTGTTTATTTACCAGGTATATATATATATATATATATATATATATATATATATATATATATATATATATATATATATATATATATATATATTTCCTACTTTCTTGGATTATTTCAAACTTGCATAAAAATAATAGCAAATTTTAATTAGGAATAAATTTTGAAGGAAAATTTTATCTTTAACTAAGCTAATGCATGCATTAAAACCCATTGCATTGTTAACACTATGGTTTCCTATGCATTAGTTATGTATAGGATAATATCAAATATGGTGTATAATTAATGCTTGTATAACTAATGCATAGATTTAAAAAGTGTACCAAACATAGTATTATTAATACACAAAACTAATGCATGCATTATTTTATCGAATGCATCCTACCAAACGATCCCTTAATGTTCCACTACAAATATTAAACACAACAAAAATACAATGGATTGTCTTGTCACGTGACACGCGCCGTGGAAACGTTTGTTGGAAGAGCACGCAGTTTGAGATGAGATGATGCAATTAGGCGCATGAATAATGTGCCTTTTCTAAAGTAGATTCCTTTTATATGCCTAACCACTAACCACCTACCATTCCTTTATTTGAATTTGGGCAATTTTATTACACAAAATTCAGATTCCATACGTTAAGGCCCCGTTTGGCCATGAGGTTTGCCAAAATAAATTTGAGATTTATTTTCAAAACTCGTGTTTGGCCATAAATTTTGCCCATATTTTGGCCAAAACCCAAATCGCAAATTTCAAATCCCAAAATCAGCTATTGAGCTGAATTTGGGCCAAAATCACAAAACTTGGGAATTATATACATGTTTTTCCAAAATAAAGTTGGAAAATATGTTTTGAAAACGTATGTCCAAACACATTTTCATCTTCAAACCAAACTTCACCCAAATCAGATTTTTCAAAATAAATTTGGGATCTATGGCCAAACGCTAGCTAATAAACCCTAATCACCCTAATTATAGTGTTAATTGTTTTATCCTCCCATTTATATGGTACTAATGTCAGTTACATTTGACTAACTAATAAAGTTAAATTTGATTAGATTTTTTAAATAGTATATAATTTATAAATCAACTTCATATTTACGCAAGTGAAAACATAGATCTTCATATCAATTTCATTTTCCTAGTATTTATTTTTTGAAACAAATATCAAATTCCGGAGGTACTCCCTATTCCTATGTTAATTGAATCATTAATTTAATTTTATTCACTAAGAACCGTAACATTTTAATAATTGAGTCATTAATTATTTCTCTAGTAATACTACATAAAGCAACACGATTGAAAGCTTCAGCATCCCAATTGACTGTGAGCGGAGCTCTGAAAATGGCGACTGATTCTCAAGCATACTTAGAAGGTGACAAGGTCAAAGAAACCAAGTCCTTAATCGCCGAACTCTGCCGTCATTTCTACAACCAGGGCTGGGTTGGGGGCACCGGCGGCAGCATCACCATTAAGGTCCACGATGAATCTATTCCCAAAGCCCAACAACTTATCGTCATGTCCCCTTCCGGTAAGAACCCATTTATTTACGATCTAACCTTACTTTCTATCTATTTCTGTGTTATTTTTATCTCGTTTGTTTGATTTTTTTTTTTCAAAATGGTTTTGGTTAGGGGTGCAAAAGGAAAGGATGGTGGAAGAGGATATGTATGTGATGTCATCAGATGGGTCTATTTTAACTGCGCCGGTGGCTAAACCTCCCCCGCACAAATTTCCAAAGTGTTCTGATTGTGCTCCTCTTTTTATGAAGGTACAATAGGTCATCAGTGTTATAGTTATAGTTAAAGAGGAACCAAAGATTGTTGTTTTTATCATGGGACAATTGTTTTGCAATCTTTCTTTGATAGTCTAATCGTTTTGTTGTATGTGTCGAAGGCATAATTTAAGTAAATAAAAGTGTAGTCACTCTAAAAGCTAAAAGCTTTTAGATGAGATGCTCAGACATTTCAACAATCCAAGCCCGTAGTCTCTTCTTTGTTTCTCGTCAGCTCAGCAAACTTTTGCATATTTCATTTCTATCTGTTCATCTCAGGATTGTTTTACTATTTCTCTGATGCTATCTTTTAAATTTGTGTTGTCTCTCTTTCTCTCTCAACATTCTAGTAAAACCTAGGATTATTAGTTGTACACTGTTGTCAAAGCTGCGCTTAAGTCCTAAAGCGAGGCGTAAAGAGCTTTGCGTCGCTTAGCGGGTGTCATCATCAAGGTTCTAATCATACTTTTTCTTGCCAACGAGCGTTATCCTGAAGAGGCGACACTAAACAATTGAGATTTCACTTTTTCGTTCTTTATTTTTTTTAATTTCTTTGTCCGTCTATTTGTTATTCTAGTCTTGGACTACACATACATATTTGTATTTTTTCTCCATTAGCACGTTGCGCTTAAAGCCCCCGGCGGAGCCACCTTAGATGACACCATTTCGTCGGAAGATTTTGCTAAATATATATATTTATTAGTATGCAAAAAAGATGTAACCAATAAAATATTAAAATGACATTGCTAATCACAAAGGTAGGCTCAGCTCTCATGGTTAAGCGCCTAAAATTAGTATGAAATGTCGTGGGTTTGAACATAAGTAGTTGCATCTATGTTATTTTTGAAGTTTTGAGCATTGTTGGATCTTGGCGTTGAACAAAAGCAAACCGCTAACTACTGACCTCTTAGCTTTAGGGCATCCAAACCAAGGGGCCAAATGTGATTTTGGTTTAATTCAGTGGTAAATATAATTTCAATGTATTCTGGAACGTAATTATTTCGTCAACCTTGCAATTTTGGGGATTTTTAGTGCTTTTTGCTACTATTTCTGTTGTAAGTTATCTTGCTATCTTATCCTTTTTCTCGGCAACAAGCTTGATTTGCAAAATCGGAAAAATGAAATCTCTTTTAGTGATTATGTTTGATTAGTACATACAAATGAAGTATTAAGTACTATTTTCATTTGGCATATTATGAGTCCATGTCAAAATAGTAAATAAACTCTCTAAGGAGAATTGTAGTAATATACTTTATTAATATGTTGAATTGTATTTTTTTAGTATATGATGTCATTATATTGAATTGTTCATTTATTTTTTTAAATGTCGACACTGCTTACAAGAAATCCTGCATACGCCCCTGCTTAAAGCCCTAATGGACCTTAGAGCTTTTTTGCGCTTTTCGCCTTTGATAACACTTATGTATACTTGAATTCTCTTAGTTCTTTTTTGATTCTGTACTACTTTGCGTATTGTAAGTTATTTCCTGTTTGTTTTTCCTTAGGCATATGAGATGCGTAATGCTGGTGCCGTTATCCACAGTCATGGAATGGAATCCTGCCTTGTAACAATGCTTAATCCACTAGCAAAAGAATTTCGGGTAAATATTGCTACGAACTTTTGTAAAGTTACCACCATCTTGGTGTGCATAAAGAACAAAAGAGGGGAACTTGGTAATGCTGAGTTCCAAACATTTGACGTATTCCGTATGATGCTGACTGTAGATTTGTTTCCCATTGACTATTGATATTTTGGATATTTATTTGAGAATCAATTTTCCTTCTAATAAAGATACTTGTTCTTTTCCTAAATAATATGAAGTCTAAACCTAACACTTCTTCCCTTTACCCATAACTGTATATAGGCTAGTTATTTCATATAGCAGAGCCAATTAGTTTTGGATTGAGGCATAATTGATTGATCTCTTAAGAGAATATGCATTTGAAACTTTCTATTTTTGCAAATATAATAAGTTACTACTGTCTCTATCTTCTCTGCCAAATTCCCCTAGCCCAATTGATAAAATTTTAAAAGACATCTAATTCCGCAGTGTAAAATACTGAAACCTATTGTTCTTTTTCATCTCAGCCTTGTAACAATGCTTAATCCACTAGCAAAAGAATTTCGGGTAAATATTGCTACAAACTTTTGTAAAGTTACCAGCATCTTGGTGTGCATATAGAACAAAAAAGGGGAACTTGGTAATGCTGAGGTCCAAACATTCGACATAGCCCGTATAATGCTGACTATAGATTTGCTTCCCATTGACTATAGATATTTTGGATTTTTATTTGAGAATCAATTTTCCTTCTAATAAAGATACTTGTTCTTTTCCTAAATTATATGAAGTCTAAACCTAACGCTTCTTCCCTTTGACCATAACTGTATATAGGCTAGTTATTTCATACAGCAGAGCCAATTAGTTTTGGATTGAGGCATAATTGATTGATCTCTTAAGAGAATATGCATTTGAAACTTTCTATTTTTGCCAATGTAATAAGTTACTACTGTCTCTATCTTCTCTGCCAAATTCCCCTAGCCCAATTGATAAAATATTAAAAGACATCTAATTCCGCAGTGTAAAGTACTGAAACCTATTGTTCTTTTTCATCTCAGCCTTAATCCACTAGCAAAAGAATTTCGGGTAAATATTGCTACAAACTTTTGTATAAGTTACCACCATCTTGGTGTGCATAAAGAACAAAAAAGGGGAACTTGGTAATGCTGAGTTCCAAACATTCGACATAGTCCGTATAATGCTGACTATAGATTTGATTCCCATTGACTATAGATATTTTGGATTTTTATTTGAGAATCAGTTTTCCTTCTAATAAAGATGCTTGTTCTTTTCCTAAATTATATGAAGTCTAAACCTAACGCTTCTTCCCTTTGCCCATAACTGTATATAGGCTAGTTATTTCATATAGCAGTGCCAATTAGTTTTGGATTGAGGCATAATTGATTGATCTTTTGAAACTTTCTATTTTTGCCAATGTAATAAGTTACTACTTTCTCTATCTTCTCTGCCAAATTCCCCTACCCCAATTGATAAAATTTTAAAAGACATCTAATTCCGCAGTGTAAAATACTGAAACCTATTGTTTTTTTTCATCTCAGCTACTATTCATTGTTGCTTTGATTGACAGATCACTCATATGGAAATGATAAAAGGAATTCAAGGGCATGGTTACTATGATGAACTTGTGGTTCCTATCATAGAGAACACTGCATATGAGAGAGAACTCACAGAATCTCTTGCTGAAGCTGTATGCGTCTCCCTCTTCTAAAAGTCACACCCTTCCTTTGCATGATCTCATGTCTACCGCGTTCTGTTTGTTTGTATATGTGCACTTAGTTTTTTTTTCTTCTCTGCTTCAAGTCGTTAGATTTAGATGGTTTTACTGGAACTGCTATAATCAAATTAATGATAAGTAAGTCAACGTCATTCCTGTTTTTTCTTGGCTTTGACTACCAAGCAGGGTGACAGTTTTTCCCTTGCAAAGTAACAAAAATACATTGTTGTTGCTCAATCATTCAACTGCTAAATTTGTTCGTTACAACATACTGTTACTTTCTGCAACTCTGCTTCACTGCTGAATTTGTTCAGCAGTTATAACAATACACGGAAGAAAGTAGACTGGTTTTTTTTTAAAGTAAAATTTTGCTTAAAGCATTGATTGCACTAGATATCCTGTCCCTTGAAGAAGGGAAAAATCATGGAATTGTTCTTCTCATTCTAAAAGTAGTTCTAATAATACATGAAAAATGGACTAGGTTTCTTTGTTATCATTTTGGCCTCAGTCCATGCAAAATGGGTAGCCATTAAGGGAAGCGGCTAGCGGGTATTTATTTTTAACAAGTTATGTCGAGACTCGAGCTAAAGAGAATTGACTGTGCCTCGTTAAAAACTCCTCCCTCTCTCATGGATGAGTGGGGAGTAGAAATTCTATATCAGCTCTAATATAGAAGATCAGTATAAATTTAGTTGTATAAATGGTTTTCTTTAAAAGATAAGAGCTAGAGTATAAGGAGGACATTCCACCCAAAATTGGTTGTCACAAAACACAAAGTTCTATTATTACTCACTCTTCCGAGTAACCAAGTTGAGTTGCCCAGGGTTTCACAGTAAACTTGATAGGTTATATTTTATGCAGGGAGTAGGGTGAGAAGCCTGCCAGTAGGTTGGCAGTTAGCATAAAAATAGTCAGACTATGATGTATCCTCTAAATGACAATAGAGGATTCGTATAGCCGGCCCAACTAGTTTGGAATTGATGCATAATTTGTTACAGTATTGTTTATATTAGCTTAATTGTTGGAAGGTAATTTTTTACCATTTAAGGATAGAGGTCCAGACTTTTGCAATGGAAGAGAGAAGAAATAAGTCATTTTTAAAATGAGCATAGATGGAATATTCTCAAAGAGTCATCTACGTAATATGAAGATTAACTATATATCAAGGTTAGGTAGAATAATATCCATAGCTGTCTCCTAAATTTAGTACACTTCTTATTATGTTGCCCTAAGGTTTAGGATGATATTTCGATGCTACTATTTACATGAGGCTTGATATATCTGCCTAAACAAGGTTTTTATTTGATTCATGCATATTTGGAGACATCTGTTTTTAGTTTGAGTAGCATGTAAATTTTTTCCATTATTTTCTCGTGAGAAAAATATAGTAGATGCCTGATGCCATTACTCACCTTTGCAAGAAGATTTAACTGAAGAAATTTAGAATTTCAGTCTTTGTCTACTGATGGTTCTATCTGTTGAGTGACACAGTGTTGAATTTTTTTCCATGTTGAACAGATCAAAGCTTACCCAAAAACAACAGCTGTGCTGGTCCGCAACCATGGTATATATGTGTGGGGAGATTCTTGGATCAGTGCTAAAACACAGGTTTGTGCCATGAACCATATGGTCTAGTACTTCCCAGACGGGTTTAGTTGCTACTAATAGTTATGATTAGGTAGAAGATTAGATTTAATAATATTGATTTAATATGTGCTAGTAAGTTAAGGATGATCTCTGTAGGATTTTCTATGTACATCGTGTAATCTATTTAAGAATGTAAGTATGGAAACAGTCCTCAGATCAATAGTTTGATGTATCTGAATTTACGTTTCATCACTCTTCTAATTGACATGCTATCTTCCAGGCTGAGTGCTATCACTACCTCTTCGATGCTGCAATTAAACTTCATCAATTAGGACTTGACTGGACAACACCAGCTCATGGTCCCATTCATAACTCCAATGGTCATTTTGGTGGCATCCAGAATGCCAAAATATCTGCAAAAGAAGGTACTCTTGCTTCAAATGGCAGCATTAAACCATCAAGGGTAAGCATTTGAAAATTTTAGATCATCCTCCGACTTTCTTGAAATTCAATTGCTTAGGTCTTTGTCTTAGGTATTTCCATTGAGTTCTTATTGTTGTCTGCATTGTGATATTTATACTTTTTCGCAGCGGTGCATCGTTTTGGATATAGAAGGAACCACTACCCCAATAACATTTGTTACTGATGTTCTGTTCCCTTATGCACGTGATAATGTGGGGAGACATTTGGATGCTACATATGGCTCCGCAGAAACTCAACAGGATATTAAGTTATTACGTGCTCAAGTAAGTAAACTTGCTGAGAAATAGCTTTGTGAAAAAGGTCTTCAAAAGAGCTAAGCCTTTCCTAGGAAAATTTGTGGTGAGGTGATATTATTGTCATAATGGTGTTTTGCATGTCAGTTTCTAGAGGACAGTTGGGGAAAATCAATAAAACTTTTGGGGGTAACTAACTTGAAAAGTTAATGAGAAATCCAAACTTGGATTGACTAAAAGTTATGCCAAACTCTTATTCCAACTTTGTCACGACCCAAAGTACCTCCTAGCCATGACTGACACCTAACGAGCACCTACCGCTAGGCGAACCAGAGTTCTATTACATACATTCCAACCGCTAACCAAACAGCAAAACGTTAAGTATAAATTAGTGGCAATATCCAATATCAGCACAAACAGAAATACAAAGCGTAACTCGCAATACAACCCATAATCTAAGTCTTGAGAGTGTCTAAGACACAAATCCAAATACCAAAATGATAAACCAAATGATAGTCGGCAACCTTCACAGACTGCATATATCTAGAAGCCATGGCCCTCCCTGCTCAAATTCTCGACATTCCCCACTTGCTGAAATTAATGTTGACAAGTGTAAACATATTTGCTGATTTTGAATCTTGCCTCTGCCATCTTCTTTCAGGTGCAACAAGACCTAGACAATGGTGTTGCTGGTGCTGTGCATATCCCGTCTGACGATGCTGGGAAGATGGAGGTAATTGCAGCTTTGGTTGCTAATGTAGAGGCAATGATTAAAGCTGACCGAAAGATTACTGCATTGAAAGAGTTACAGGTGAGAATAGTGGTACCTAGGTCCCTCAAATAGTATATAAATTTTATAAACTTTCATAACTTAGTTGCTTACAATTCGTGCTTTTTTCATATTCTAATACTCCAGGGACATATATGGCAAACTGGGTTTGAGAATAATGAGTTAGAGGGACTTGTTTTTGATGATGTGCCTCAAGCTCTTGAGAAATGGGCTTCTTCAGGCTTCAAGGTTTCTTACATCTTTCCTTGTTTCTGTACTCTCTGCATTCCTCCCTTTTTTGTAAGCTCTAGTGCTATCCAAATTTTGTTACAAATGCAAACCATTATGACCATCAAAGAAGTTGCTCTGGTTCTTTTTGAAAGGCTTCAGCATGCTGCATGGTTTAAGTGTGTTCTTCTTCATTATCATGACGAGGTAATGCCTTAGTCTATAGTCTCCATCTGCTAGTCATATTAACTAGTTTTTGTACCACAGGTATACATATACTCAAGTGGCAGCAGATTGGCACAGAGACTTTTGTTTGGTCACACAAAACACGGAGACCTGAGAAATTATCTCTGTGGATTTTTCGATACAACAGTGGGGTAAATTTCTACCTTTCAGCGGGTTTTCATATTTTGATACTTTTGTCAGTTGAAGTAATTCATCTTTCTCCTTTTCTGCTGTAGCAACAAGAGAGAAACAAAAAGTTACCAAGAAATTACAGCATCATTGGGAGTAGATAAGCCATCAGATATATTGTTTGTGACAGATGTCTATCAAGAAGCGACAGCTGCAAAGGCAGCAGGTAATGTCCTGCTCATTTTGTATGAAACAACTTTATCTCAGAATTTGCTAGCTCTTCCAGATACTAGCTGAAAAAGTAGCTTGGTCAACAACTGTGTTGCCAATTTAGGATGTTAGTACTTGTATTGTTGGTGTGATTCCTCCTCTTTAACTCCAACAGCTAGCAGTTTATCTAGACAGACTTGTGTGAGCCTGTAGATGTCACCTATACTTTACTTAAACAAAAAAAGAACTTATGCATATGCTTCACTGACATTGCTGCCCTTTTGGCTCCTTCAGGTTTGGAAGTGATAATCTCTGTCAGACCAGGAAATGGACCTCTTCCAGATAATCACGGGTTCAGGACAATCCGATCATTTTCAGAGATCTAAAGATGGAATGTGTCATCCTGTAACATTTTCCATGTATGATGTAACATATCCTAATAAAAGAAAGTTGGGGGTAGGTCCATGTTTCTCTAGCAAAAATTAATAGAGTTGATTGAGTCATACTGCTGCTCTTGCCTTTCACAAATGGGGGGTCCATTTGCGTGTTGCAACCTTAGGATTAGTGTCAACTAGTCTCCTCTTTTCTGTTGTATTGAGATGATATTAAGTTAACTTATGAGAACAATTTCCAGAGATCGATGTTTTAGATGGTATTAAGTTAATGTATAGAAAATTGAATGAAAACTGGCGAAAAAGAAGTATGCTGAGGAACAAGATTCTCAATCCGCTCTACAAAATGGTCTCAAAACGGTCTAAGTTTATCTTTTTGACGGTTCTTGTACCCTTGGCTTGGCAGCCCGATCTGAAGAATTCAAGATTTATGTCCGATTCAGGTTGGTAAGAGACAGTACAAAAGTTTTCACACCTGTACAGTTGGGAAAGAATGAGTGATGAATTGGTTTTTTTAATCTTTAAATGATGCCTCTTCGTGGTTTTGTTTGGGGAAAAAGATGTTCATGCTATTTCAATGAGATGGGAAGTTTATTTATAAATGGAGAGACTAATCTATAAGGTAACGCAAATTATAATAGTGGTTTTGGAGCCAAATTACTGATATAGTAGTAGACCAGTTCAGACGTCTCTGCTGATAATAAAAAGCTAGAAAAAGAAAAAACATAAGCAAAGGAATCTCTTGCTACAAGGCAGACAGAGAAATAAAAAGTTGAAAAGAAATCACATCTTGTTTTGACATATAACTTGTGGTACATATAGTGGACATATGACAGTCCTAATCTTACTGTTATCCCTTCATTTGTCTAACTTTTCAATCATAATTGGTTCCCACTCTCTTCCTGCAATTTCCTTTTCATTGTGTATGTCGTCATTCCCTAACAGCTGGTCCCTTCTAAGTCAAAAGACACAATCTTATAGAAGAAGCCTTTATATTTGTGTTGCACATATAAGGTGTCATTTAGTCGGGTGAATAAAAATATTACTCAATAAGATGTATTAGTAATGCATGAGTTTATAATATAAGTATTAGTTATGCAGAGATTATTCTTATCTACTGTTTGGTGTATTAAAAATTAAAATGTATTGCATAATTTTAAGAAAATTCATTTACAAAAATGTCCTCCATATTCTGTAGCTTTAAAGGAATTTAAGGATAATTCTAATCTTTAATCAGGGTAATGCATGCATTAATAGCTTTGGTATTACTAATATCATCGTTTGCTACTAATACCATATTGCAGAAATGCAGGGTAAGGTTGCGTACAATAGACCCTTGTGGTCTAGCCCTTCCTCGGACCCCGTACATAACGGGAGCTTAGTGCATCGGGCTGTCCGCTATGTATTAGTTATACATAGGATAATACCAAATACATTGTATAACTAATACTTGCATTGGTGATATATAGGTTGACAAAAATGTACCAACAAGGAATTAGTAATACCAAAAGCTAATGCATGTATTATTTTTCTCTAATGCATCCTACCATACGATACCTACCATGTTTGCTTAATGGGTTTCTTACGCGTTGCCAAAAGTTCCGAAATTATTTATTTATTTGCTTTCCATTATGTAATGGATCTTGGAACAATCATAGAAAATAATCTCTTAATAAAAAATCATTTTAATAGATTTATTCATAATCTAATATATCTAGGATCTAGAAAGGCAGAAGTCATAGGAACACTATTTACGAAGGGTGTGGGATCAAAACTCAAGTTATTAAATTTTAGCAATAGAAGGAAAGGGAGAAAAGGATAGATCCCAAGAAAAGGAGAGGGTGAAAACTCATCAAAATCTTTGGAACAGTACTAAAAATGAAAATATCTAAACAAGTGGGGCCATCCAAATATATGGTTTAATGTGAATCAAACATCCAATCATCTCAGCACAAAAGGATTCTTCTAATATCTTTGATTTGATTACTCCATCTTAGGAATATAACTGCAGACCTCACTGAAAAACTTGAGACCATGTCCTTTTCTTTGTTTCTTTCTTATCTTAAGAAGCACAACCAATTACTCCAAGTTAGTAATTTAATGCGCCACCTTTTTTTTTTTTTTTTACCTGAACTTTATCCTCTATATTCATTAAGTTACAAAACTATTTTTGTGGCAATGTAATAACCGAATTTTAGCCACTAAAATCATAAAGACAAAAAATTAAATTATTGTTCGTTCAATAAAATAATTAGAACTTTAACCAGTAAAATGCAATAATTAACTTTACCCACTATAAATTTAATTTCACTATAATAGTTATGGTGAATAAAGTTTAATTAATTTAGTTTGACAAAAAATAGTTTTGTAACTATATTGTTATAATGGAGTGGTACTTGCTTCTTATTTTCACTCATCGGTTATATCAGTTTGTGCTGAAAAGCCCTTTTCATCTATTCTCATGCCTTAAAAATATGGTGCATGATGCTGACTTTGATAAGTGAATCTAAGTTATTAACATATGCATATATACATACTGGTCCTAAACTCATACAACACTTTTTCTTAGTGTGTATGTGCATATATGCTGATAAGATAGTGCAGAATGTGAATTTGATCCTACACCATTATGCATGTTTTTAAAATATCACTTATTCCTATTGTTTGTATATGTAATGGCAAAGAATATGAATTTGATCCCAACACTAATTACTTTTGACAAAGACACTTGCTACTTTGTTATTATTCCAAAATACAGTAGGATTCTCCTTCCACTGTAAAAGTTATAAAAGGAATTCAACTTCTCAATCCATTTTGCCTCAGCTTTCCACCATATGAGATTGAATCTCTTTTTACATGCAACACTAAGAATGGTAAAGAAAAATACCACTTGTAATAATCCAACCTCAACTTTCAAAGTATTGTTCTAGTTCCATCTTTAAAATCATTTTGTCCCCTTGGACTTTAATCCAAAAGGAGCCTCCACAATCTAATTTTTGAATATGGCCCTAACCAGGGGCGGAGCTCAATGGCGAAACCAGAAATTTTACAAAAGGTGTTCAAGGTTAATATATATCTATAAAAAATAATTTTTGATTTATATACATAATATAATTTTTTTATATACTCAATGTAATTTTCCGATGAAGTGTGAATGTCTAGTTTTGGTTCGAATTCTGTTTTTGTTTTAAAAAAATAGTATATAAATTATTAAATTAGAACCCAATAACTTAAAACAATTACGATCTCAAACTCATACTCATAAGTCAAGCTTTGCAGTAAATTTGTGTTACACTACTTCAAAAAGGCACCAGAGATTAAAAGGTAAAAATAGAAGGTAAAAGAGCCAAGGGATGGGGAAAAAATGAAGGAAGAAAGAGAATGAACAAAGTTGTTTATTTCATATTTTTGAAACAATGGATGAAGGGAGATCAAATTATACAATTGAAACAATTAATTAAGATCTCTACCTTTTTCTCTTCAAATTATAAGTTGAAAGACTCCTCCTCCAACCCACGTACTCACATCAGCACAATCACAGAACTTTAAAATAAATCCACATAATCCTCAAGAAGAAGAAGAAGACCCTGAAACTCTAGGAGAAGTAACTGGAAACAACGGCAAAAGCTGTGGCTCTGAATCTCTTGGCGTTCTCCTCGGTGAAGGATGCATATAAAACTTCTTCTCAGCAATAGCTTTATCCTCTTCTGAAAGATTACTCATTAATGGAGATGACTTGTTAAATGGGTCTTCAATCAATGGCGTAACCGGGCTTAAAGCAAGCGAAGGGAAATCGAGAATACTCGGGGATAAAACCTCGGGCTTGTTCCGAGGTGAAAAAGAAGTTGAATTGTGGGCTGAATGAATCAAAGGACTAATCATAAGCCCATTTTTTAAACTGTTTCTTCTTTCGTAGAGCTTGAAACCGGGTTTTTTAGGAGCAGTTCTAATAGGAGGAATGGAGCCTTTATTGGAAGATGAAGATGAAGAAGACGATGGATCTGGTTGTTTTGCAGTTTCAGAGGAACCAGTGAGCATTTGAACAACTTGTTTGAAAGAAGAAGTATCAGCTTGTACAAAAGTTGTTGGGTAAGGATTGTTTGTTTCAGATCTAGAGATTGTTTTTGGGGTCAGAGGTGGGGTTGGATTTTGGATTACTGATCCATTGCTGTGGCTGTTTGGACTTGTTCCATTGCTTCTTGGTGAGTTTATTGATAATGGGTTCTCTCTATCTTGAATTCTTGATGTCATTTCCATTGTATCTCAAATGCTCCTTTACTTTTTTCTGAAGAAGAATTAAGATGAAAGTTGGAGTGCAAAAACAAGGCTATGGTGAGAGGAATTTGCTTTTGTTTTTGTGTAGTATTTGTGCAAAGTGTATTTGCTTCAAAGTCTTTCTTTTTGTCTTTAAGACTAATTTTCTCACCTCAGCAACAAAAGAGTGAAAGAAAGACTCTTTTCTCTTTGTTATATTGGGTTTGCTTTTGCTTTTGCTTTATGGTGGGAGGTGGTGGGGGTGAAAAAAAAAGGGTTGGTTGATTGGGTATAGAGAAAATGCAACCCACAATGGTCAATTTAGATAAGAAAAAGAAAAGAAAAGAAAAGGTAGGGGAAGGGGTATTGGTGGAGTTTGGAATTTAGGGCGTCAGCGTCAGAAGTGGCCAAAGAGTGGGAATTTCAATTTCAAAGTATTTGAGCTGTACATTGACTTCAGAGCCCTGACCCTGACCCCTTCTCTGGCCCCCCTGTTATACTGTGAACTAAGAGAAAGCCTACACACTTTCACACACACACACACTACACTCACTGCTGTTTTGATTGGATGTTAACATGTCATCTCTATACATGACATTTTATCAACATTTCTTGTTCGAGATATGTGAATCAAGAAACTTAGGATAAGAGGCATATTTGTCTTAAAATGAGCACTATGTGATACAAATATAAATTAATTGGACGTCCGCACCTTTCTTTATTCGCTGTTGTTCGACCAAAAAGTTTTAAGCCTTTTTTATTAAACTAATTTAATAAATAGATATGGAATAAATCCTAGCCAGAGATAATCTGCTCTAGATTTGAGATAGAAGACAAGAATAAACAAGTATGGTTGGACATAAAGTTTGATTACAGTCGCGATTGGATTCAATAATATAAGAAAAGGAAGATGGCTTCAATAATATCAAATGATAATGACAAGTACACAGAGGAAAAATAATGTAAAAATGGCGTGAGGTAGCCACTAAGTAAGGTGGTCTTTATTTTTTATCCACTATTTCTAATGCTGAACAAAAATA